GAGGGGCCGTGGGGTGGGGGGGGGGCCCGGGGGGGGGGGGGGGGGCGGAATCCCCAATATCTGGGCTGGACCCCCGAAAGGTCCAGGGTGATGGGACCCCCCCACATCTGCATGGGGTCCCCAAAATCAGGGTATGAGACCCCCCAACATCTGGAATGGGGATGTTGAAATTTGGGTGACGCCGGGGGGGGGGGGGGGGGGCGGAATCCCCAATATCTGGGCTGGACCCCCGAAAGGTCCAGGGTGATGGGACCCCCCCACATCTGCATGGGGTCCCCAAAATCAGGGTATGAGACCCCCCAACATCTGGAATGGGGATGTTGAAATTTGGGTGACGCCCCCGACGTCTGGAATGGGGACCCCTGATGGGTGATGGGACCCCCCCCCCAGCATCTGGGTGAGGACCCCAACATCTCGCTGGGGAACCCCAACATTGGGAGGATCCTGGTTGGGACCCCAACATCTGGAACGGGGATCCCAAAATTCCTGCGAGACTCTCGTCTTCCGGGTTTGGGCGGTGCTTTGTTCCGATTGGTTCGGGATTGTGTCAATCAAAATGATCAGCCAATCGAAGCGCAGTTCCTGGGTTCTCTGTTTTTATTGGCCTTCATGCATGCCAATCAAACACGCAAGCCAATCACAAAGCTGGAGAGGAAGGACTTTCCATCTTGAACAACAGCACTTCCGCGTTGGTGCTGTTCTCGCTTCCGATTGGTCCGCCTGTGTGTCAATCAACAGAATCAACCAATCGCAGCTCGAGCGACAGTGCCACCCCCCGTGGGGACACCGTGGGGACACTGTGGTGACAGTGACACCCTTGGGGACACCTTGGGGACAGTGACATCGTTGGAGACACCCTGGTGACAGTGCCACCCTGGAGACCAACCATGGGGACACTCTGGGCTTGGGGACACCCTGATCACCCTTGGGGACACTCAGGTGACAGGGACACCACAGTGACAGTGCCACCCTTGGGGACACCCTGGGGACAGTGACACCCTGGAGACCAACCATGGGGACACTCTGGGCTTGGGGACACCCTGATCACCCTTGGGGACACTCAGGTGACAGGGACACCACAGTGACAGTGCCACCCTTGGGGACACCCTGGAGACCATTGTGGGGACACCCTGGGCCTGGGGACATCACCTTGGGGACATCCTGGGCTTGGGGACACCGTGGTGACATGGACACCCTGGTGACAGTGCCACCCCAGCCTTGGGGACATCCTGGTGACAAAGAGACCCTGGAGACCAACCTGGGGACATCCCAGCCTTGGGGACACGCTGGGGACAGTGCCACCCTTGGGGACACCCTGGGGACAGTGACACCCTTGGGGACACCGTGGTGACAGTGCCACCCTGGGCTTGGGGACATCCTGGGCTTGGGGACACCGTGGTGACATGGACACGCTGGGGACACCCTGGTGACATGGACACGCTGGTGACAGTGCCACCCTGGGCTGGGGGACACCCTGGGGACACCACAGTGTTGGTGACACTCTTGGGGACACCGTGGGCTTGGGGACACCGTGGTGACAGTGCCACCCTGGGCTTGGGGACATCCTGGGGACACCACAGTGACAGTGCCACCCTTGGGGGCACTCTGGTGACATGGACACCTTGGTGACAGTGCCACCCTGGGCTGGGGGACACCGTGGTGACAGGGCCACCCTTGGGGACACCCTGGAGACCATTGTGGGGACACCGTGGGC